TGTCTGTCTGCTGGTCTTTCTTTCTTTCTTTCTTTCTTTCTTTCTGTCCGTCCGTCTGTCTGCCTGTCTGTCTGTCTGACTACTGCAGTCTGTCTGTCTGTCTGTCTGTCTGTCTCTCTGTCTCTCTGTCTGTCTGTCTGCTGGTCTGTCTCTCTTTCTTTCTTTCTTTCTTTCTTTCTTTCTTTCTTTCTGTCCGTCTGTCTGTCTGTCTGTCTGACTACTGCAGTCTGTCTGTCCGTCTCTCTGTCTGTCTGTCGGTTGGTCTGTATGTCTGTCTGTCTATCAGTCTGTCTTTCTTTCTTTCTTTCTTTCTTTCTTTCTTTCTTTCTTTCTTCCTTTCTGTCTGTCTGTCTACTGGTCTGTCAGTCTTTCTGTCCATCTGTCTGTCTGTGTGTCTATCTGTCTGTCTGTCTGTCTGTTTGTCTGTCTGTCKGCCTGTCTGTCTGTCTGTCTGTCTGTCTCTCTGTCTTTCTTTCTTTTTTTCTTTCTTTTTTTCTTTCTTTCTTTCTTTCTTTCCTTCTTTCTTTCTTTCTTTCTTTCTTTCTGTCCGTCTGTCTGTCTGTCTGTCTGTCTGTCTGTCTGACTACTGCAGTTTGTCTGTCTGTCTCTCTGTCTGTCAGTCAGTTCGTTTGTCTGCCTGTCAGTATGTCTGTATGTCTGTATGTCTGTCTGTAGGTCGGTCTGTCTCTCTGTAGGTCTGTTTGGATGTGTGTCCTTGTGTTAGACTGTCGGTCTTTCTGACTGTTGAACAGACAGTCTGTCTGTTTGTATGTATGGATGACGTGCTCACACACACACACACACACACACACACACACACTCACACACGTTGTTGGACGCAGCCCTGAAGTTGGCTACTGCGTGCCATAATCTGCCAAACGATAACCCTTGCAACACTGAATGGCCCGCAGTAGCCAACCTTGCAAGAGAGACCGAGACACACACACACACGCACACACACACACACACACACACACACACACACACACACAGATACAGACATGTCGATGACGTTTTTGTGCGTTTCCGCTGGCAGAGAGAAGAGGTCGAAAGACAAAGCATTTGCATCATGTCGATGTCGGTAGCACAGGTGGCGAAGGCTCTCGCAGAGGTGATGAAGTATGTAGAGGAGCGATTCCACTACAACGGCCGTGGCGAGTTATCTTTGGTGCAGGAGAGGGTGCCGCGGTACTTTGCTGTTACCGTGGATATGAGATCCGCGATCATGGCCAACGGCAGTGGTTGCGTACAGGCACGAACACTCTTGGAACGATTGAGAGAGTCACCTGATATTCGTGTGGACAGTGACGCGGAAGACAGCCCATACAGTCTAAAAGGAGTGGTGCAGTGGATGTGCAGTGAAGGCATGCGCAACGAAGGACTTGTCGACATGTCAATGCAGCAGAGAGGGGGGACCTATACACCTGTGGCTTTCAGAAAGTTCATGGTGAGTGTGGCGAAGGGATGGGACATGCTTGTTGAAGGGACGAAGGACGAGTTGAAGAGGGGTGCTGCAGAAATACTAGTGCTGTCCAGAATCAAGGACATGACACAAACACCGCCCCAGGACTTTCAAGAGCTTCCCATTATTATTGCAGACGGTGTGAAATACGTTCTGCTTGACCAGCTATGTGATCTCATGGGGAGGTCAGAGGACGACAGGAACGTCATTCATGAGATGTTGCACGAAGTCACAGAGTATGCCGTGCAGGGTCGAGATGTCATTGAGTTTGAGCCCGCGTCAGCAGGAGAGGAGATCATTAGTGGCAGACCATTGTGGGGGGGTTTGTTGGGTTGTGCTCTGGAGCGGCTTGGTCTTGCAACCTGCGATGTCGAGAGACAGAGAGAAAGGGAAGAGGGTTGGAGGATGATTGCCAGCGAAACAAGGTTACCGGTCATTGAAGAAACCGGGGAGACATCAGCAGTACAAGATACGAGTGGGGCGATGGTGGTTGACGTGTCTACCTTGCACACACCATCGACAGAGGAGCTGGTGTATATGGACACTTGTTAGCGTTTCTTCTTCGGGGAGCAGCAGGAGGACGAGCACACAGACGATGCACAGCACAAAGTCGATGCAGAGGAGGAGGATAAGGAAGAGTGCGAGGGGTCTGACGTGGATGTGAGCGGCAGCGACGTCAGCAGCGACGAAGCAGACAACGACAATGACGTGTACTACGATCTCAAGACAGCGGGCGGACAAGTAACCAAAGGTTGGGCACATGCAATCCTGAGGTTGGCACGAGTATTTCCCGATCCGCACAACGTGCTGCGTGTGGTGTTCAATGGGGCGACACCTGATGGTGCCATGCAGTATGCTGCAGTAACCACCATAATGCGATCCTGCAAGAAGGGGAAAAAATGGTCACGTATCGGCAAGGCATGGTTTGTTCTGGTGAACAGAGAGGCTGTGCTAGCAACATCGCTGACACGGGGACTGAACCTGAGTTGCCTCCTGCATGGCGCAGTGGCCACAGCTTGGGGAGAGACATTGCACCCCGGCTTGTCGACAGGGGACGCAGTAGTTAGTGCTCGGCCACAGCACCACACACATACACACCCACACAGCACGACAGACCACGTCATACATCAGGGATGATGCGACACATGCATAGCAAATGGCATCACAGTTGTTGTACAAACAACCTGTGTATGTGTGTGTACACATGGATTGCTCAACCTGTACATCCCTCAGCTTGTACATCCCTCTCCCCCCCCCTCAGTTTGACCGACCMTMCGGTTGACTACTGTGTACCATATTCGTGTTCACCGGTGTTCTCTGTCGGAGACTACTGCGGGACTAGTCTCTCTCTCTCTCTCTCTCTCTCTCTCTTTTTGTAGGTTTAGTTGAACTTGTATCTCCCCCACAGGTTTACGACAGTGTGCAGACACTGCATATTTCTTTCTTTTATGCAGTTCATTATTGTTACGATGTTTTTGATTCCATGTTGCTTTCTGGGGCACTTCAGACTCATCAGACCGCTCCCCCATTATAACCTGATGCGTGTTTCGTATGTGATCTTGCACCTTTTTTTTTTTTTTTTGGGATAATTTTTGTAATTGTTAATTTCTTTTTTCGAATTT